ATATTGGCAGGGCCACGGGAACGCTTTCGCACACTTCCGCGGCCCCACCTGCGCTGGCCGCCCCATGGCGGCCCCTCCTCGGGAGAGGACTGCTCCTCCCCCATCTCCCTCTCAGGAAAGGCGCACCAGAACACATGGTGCGCCCTCCTCCTCGGCCTCCAATTTCCAATGCGCAACGGACGCCCCCGTGTCCGATGCGCGGAGGCCATGGGGCCAGGAAAAACTAGCACTCAGAAGCACCGGCCTTCCTGGCCCCAGCGGCGGATCTGGTCTATGGCTCCGCCGCCAACCGAGATTCGGCTGCGGAGGGTAGGGAGAGCGGCGCCTCGCAATACCGACACTCCTCTCCCCCCGCAGCCCCACCACCACCGCATCACTCAACGGTGCGGCCCCGTCTGAGTCGCGGAGGATAGGGCGAGTGGCGCATCGCCATACCAGCACGCCTCCTCCTCCGCGACTCCACCTCGGCTGCAGCGATAGAGGGAGCGGACACCCCTCTCGCAGCATCCCACCGACACACATCCGAAGTGGGCTTCCCAAGCCCACTCGGAGTGGCCACCTCGGGCCGGCCCTACACCACCGGCCAGCCAAGGGGTTCCTCTTTGTTCACCGTGGTTGACCAAGCCACGGCTACTAAGCCCCCCCGCCACGACAAGGCGGGAACCCGTTCGGGGGGGAACCTAACCTAACCTAACCTAACCTTTTTTTTTTTTTTTTTTTTTACATGGGGAAATGCCTACGCATACCCGCCTCGCGGGGGCAAGGACGGGTTATGTCGGACTCGCACCGACTAAAACCCCATGGTGTTCCACCCTCGTCGCATATTGGCAGGGCCACGGGAACGCTTTCGCACACTTCCGCGGCCCCACCTGCGCTGGCCACTCCACGGCGGCCCCTCCTCGGGAGAGGACCACTCCTCCCCCATCTCCCTCTCAGGTAAGGCGCACCAGAACACATGGCGCGCCCTCCTCCTCGGCCTCCAATTTCATATGCGCAACGGACGCCCCCGCGTCCGATGCGCGAAGGCCATGGGGCCAGGAAAAACTAGCACTCAGTAGCACCAGCCTTCCTAACCCCAGCGGCGGATCAGGTCTATGGCTCCGCCGCCAACCAAGATTCGGCTGCGGAGGGCAGGGAGAGCGGCGCCTCGCAATACCGGCACTCCTCTCCCCCCGCAGCCCCACCACCACTGCATCAATCAACGGTGCGGCCCCGTCTGAGTCGCGGAGGATAGGCGAGTGGCGCATCGCCATACCAACACTCCTCTTCCTCCGTGACTCCACCTCGCTGCAGCGGTAGAGGGTGCGGACTCCCCTCTCACCGCAGCACACCAACACACATCCGAAGTGGGCTTCCCCAGCCCACTCGGAGTGGCCACCTCGGGCCGGCCCTACACCTCGGGCCAGCCAAGGGGTTCCTCTTCGTTCACCGTGGTTGACCAAGCCACGGCTACTAAGCCCCCCCGCCACGACAAGGCGGGAACCCGTTCGGGGGGGAACCTAATCTAACCTAACCTTTTTTTTTTTTTTTTACGGGGGGAAATCCTCATGGACTACCTCCGCCTGGGGAAAGGCGGAGGGGCGTGCCGGACTCTTACCGGCTAAAACCACCCCGGTGTCTCCTCACACGTGCGCGTGGGGCCGCGGGAATCCAAATTCTTCCGCAGCCCCACACTAGTGCTGGCCCGGTCTGTCCGGGCCTCGTCTCCTGCACGGGGTAGTGAGGTGTTAAACTACCCCGTGTATCGCCTCAGGGGCGCGCGCCGACACCCGCGCGCGCCTCCGCCTCTGGTCCATCGAGTAGGGGCGGCGGGGGCTTCCCCAAGTCCCTCGCCCCTGGACCCATTTATGGGGGCCGGAAAAGGGCGTTGTCCGCCCTTCTCCTGCGCCCGGTGCGCCTTCTGCGGCCAGGGAAGGGAGTCGAGATCTCCCTTTCCCGTTCCGCAGTTTCCTTCTGCGACATCACGTCCTCGCAGAAGGACACCACTGCATCCCACGACTCTGCGCTACCGACCATCTTCCGCACTAAGGCCGGCAGCGACAGATCGCCTCCTACTTTATTTGTGAGGACACGGCGCTGCTCCTCCCAAGCTACACACTCGGCGAGCGTGTGTTGCGCCGTGTCCTCCCCGCAATGGACGCAGTGGTGGCACCGAGCGTCCGGCTCCCTGTCTATGCGGCGCAGGTACTTGCCGAAGCAGCCATGCCCCGACAGCACCTGCGTCACCCTAAACGACAGGGAGCCGTGCCTTCTCCCGAGCCAGTCGTCGAGTACTGGCCGGATCGCCTCGACGGTAGCGAGGCCGGCGGTAGGGCGCAGAAGCCTTTGCCGCTATTCCGCCACCAAGACCTGACGGAGCTCCTCTCGGCGCAGCGCGATCTGCCGCTGCACCGGTCTCGAGCCCCGTGCCCGCTCTTCCTCGCGCCATCGATATAATGACGCGAGTACTTTCGCCTCTAGGTCCCAGGGCGGGGATCCGGCCAGGACGCAAGCCGCCTCGTAGGAAATCGTGCGATACCCGCGGACGACTCTGACGGCCATCGCCCTCTGCGGTTTACGCAGAATGGCGAGAGTGCTGGCCGTCATGTCCATCGCCCACACAGGCGCCCCATACAGGGCCATGGACCGCACGATTCCTACGTACAACCGCCTACAGGCGGCGCTCGGGCCCCCCAAGTTGGGAAGCAACGTTGATAGCGCGCCCGCTGCACCCATCAGCTTGGGCGCCAGCCGCCGGAAGTGGGGTCCGAATTCCCATCGGCTGTCGAGCACCAATCCCAGATACTTCATGGTGGACTCGACAGCTATCCGGGCCCCGCTGACCTCGATGTGTGAACCCGGCGGCGGCGCGCGTCGTGTGCCATGGAACACCATGGCCTCCGACTTACTTAGGGCCACCTCCAGGCCCAGGCGCCGGATGCGGTTCACCACTCGTGACACCGCAGCCGTGGCAACCAACGCTGCTTCCCTGTGCGAACTCCCCCGGGCAGTGACGAGCGTGTCATCCGCATAACACGTCAATTCGGCGCCCGACGGGAGTTCACCTCTCAGCACCCAGTCGTAGCCGATGTTCCACAGGAGCGGTCCCAAGACCGATCCCTGCGGAACACCGCACGACATGACGCGCCGACCAGCGCCGTCACGTCCCCAATAGGTAACGCATCTCTCCTCAAGGTAAGCCCCTATTGTGCGGCGGAGGTAGGGAGGCACGCGATGGTAATTCAGCGCCTCCCGAATACAACTCCAGGGTAGGGTGTTGAAGGCGTTGGAGATGTCTAAAGACACCGCCAGCACCACCCCACCCCGGGATACTGTCTCCTCCGCCAGGGCCATCACGCGCGTAATAGCGTCTATGGTGGAGCGCCCGCGACGAAAACCAAACTGGTTCTCGTCCAGGTCCGGCCCCTCTCTGCACAAGTGGCCGACGAGGCGATCTGCGATGATACGCTCAAGAAGTTTGCCCGCCTCGTCGAGCAGCACTATGGGCCGGTACGCGGACGGTGAGTCCGCGGGGCGCCCCTCCTTCCTGAGCAGGACCAGCCTCCCCTCCTTCCACACACTGGGAAACTGACCCTGCTCGAGACATGCCGTGAAGAGCCCTCTCAGCTGGGGCTCTAGCTCCTTCAGAGCCAGGACGAGAGCTCGACCAGGAACTCCGTCGGGTCCGGGCGCTGTGTTCTTAGCCCGGAGTCGCGACACGGCCACTCTCGTCTCTGCTTGCGTCACCTCGGGGACGTCGGTGCTCTCCTCTTCTGGAGAGTCTGTGGCTGAGGGCGAAGCCATCGCCGGGGGAACGTGTCCCACTCGCTCAGGGAAGAGAGTCGATAACACCGACTCTAGCAACTGGGGTTGCATCCTTTGTGTTAGTGGAGGCGCCCAGGGACGCAACTTGCCCCGAATCCAACGGTAGGGGCGCCCCCACGGATCCCGATCTAGGGACCCCAGTAGCTCCTCCCTGGCACGCGACTTTGAGTCGCCGATGGCCAGCCACAGAGTCTCCTTAGACGCGCGGTACACCTCATACAGCGCGTCCTCCTCGGCGGAATCCCGTCGACGCCGCCTCCGGTATCGGGTGTACCGGCGACGAGCCGCAACGCACGCTATGCGTAATTGCGCGATCTCGGCGGTCCACCAGTACACCTGGCGCTTTGCGGACCGTTGGCGGACACGGGGTATTGACGCGTCGCAGATCTGCGTCATCGCCCCGCGAAACCATAGCGCCACCGCTTCGACGTCGACGGGGCCGTCCGTCGTCGACTCCCAGATCCAGGACTGAACTAGGGCAGCTTCCTCGAGTAGTTCCCTGTCGATGCGCTTAAGCGCCCAACGCTGGCCGTCGTTAATCGGGGTTGTTGGATGGCGGCCGCTCGCAGTCTGGGCAGAGACGTCGAACCGGATATATCGATGGTCCGACAGCGTCTTCACCTCTGCGGCGACACGCCAGTCACGGACTCGGCTGGCGACAGAGGGGCTAGCAAACGAGACGTCCACTATCGACCCACCCCGCTGCCGCACGCACGTGTATTCCGAACCCCGATTCAGGACGACCAGACCAGTCGTCACCGTCCACTCTTCTAGCACCTCGCCCCGAGGGTCAGTGACCGGAGATCCCCACGCCGATGACTTGGCGTTGAGATCCCCGAGCACCAGAACGGGACGAGGGTGATAACGGCCTACAACGGCGCCCAACTCGACAAGGAAGCCCTCAAAGTCGGCGAGACTCTTGTTGGGGGAGAAATACGCCCCTACAATAACGATGCCGCCCGAGACCGCAGCAACCCAGCCGCGGCCCCGAGACGGGTCGATCAGAGTCTCGCCAATAATGGCCACCAAACCGTCAGCGCATCCCAACCAGTTGTCACGGGCGGGAACGAATTACGGTTCGGCGACCACAGCCACGTGAATCGACCACTCTGCCATGCTCTGGAGTAGGAGATCCTGAGCTCTGGCACAGTGGTTGATGTTGCCCTGGAGAAAATGGAGAGAATGGAATTGTGCCATTATTGACATTCCATCCCCTCGGCAACGGTCCTGGGCCGGGAGTCGGCCGCGGAGCTGCTAGCCTGCGGGGGCAGCGAGGTTAACCCGGCAGGCTTAGTGCTCCTCTTCTTTTCTTTTTTCTTTTTGGCCTTGCTGGCAGGCGCCCCACAGGCCCCTCCGCCTACTCTGTGCTCTGCAGGCCTTCCCGCAGCAGAACAAAGGCTGCAGTTGAACGCCGCGGTGCACAGGGCCGCCTTGTGGCCAGGCTGGCCGCAGCGAAAACAGATGTCACTACGGTCAACCTCAGCGGTGCACTTCGCCCGGACGTGCCCTTTTTCCAGGCACCGGAAGCACTGCAAAGCCCGGGGCTGTAGAAGCTTGGTTTTTGCCGCCACCCAGCCTACCAGCAATCTGCCGCTATCAGCGATCTTCTTCGCCGACGCCACAGGGCACCGAACCCAGACCATGCCGAGTCCGGAGGCGTCGGTGCGTATATCGCCAGCCCGCACCTTGTCCGGTGGACACTCTCCGCTTCTGGCAACGGCCGCCACCACCTCCTCAGAGGTCACGGAGTCGTCCAGGCCAGCAATCCGCACCTCTGCGGTTTTCATTGGTCTGGAGACCCGGACGTCCTCAGGGTTGAGGACCTCCCTCATTTTGGCGGCCAGTGCGTCCGCCTTTTCGGCACTGCTGCTCACAGTGCCAGCCACCTCGAACAGCCGTGCACCCGTGGCAGCCTGCCTGAGGGTGACGGACTGAAGGCCAAGATCTGATAATTTGATCTTGGCCTTGGCCTCAGCGATGCCAAGGCCAAGCCATGCTACCCTCCGCGGGCTTCCCCTTTTGAGGCGCAAGTCTCGGCGGCTCCTCAGTTCTCCGAGTGTCCGCCGCCAAAGGCGGACGGAGGATTTCCACCGGGAGACGCCGTGAAATCGCCTCCAGCCGAGCGTTAACCATGCTCCCGCACTGGAGCATGCAGATCCGGACAATGCGCTCGACCTCTTCATCGGTACGAGGGCTTGCCGGTCGCGGTGCGGGAGTCGGGGCCACTACAGGTGCGGCATCGGTGGACGTGCGTCGCTGCTGCTCTTCGCTCAGCGCAGCGACTTGCCGTCGGAGGTCCTCCAAGTCATTTCTGAGGCGGCTGTTTTCCTCCTGTAACTTTGCGACCTCGTCAGAGGCCGTCCTGTTGAGGAGGATGCCAACCGCCTCCCTAATATCCGCGGCAGCCTCCTTTAAGCCACGGGTGAACGTGCCCTTCAGGCTGCCAGACTTGGTGGCAGCCTTCAGGACTAAGTCCACCCCATCCAGAGCCAGCTGGCTTAAGGCCACCGCAGATGGCTCTCCCCCTTCCGCCGCAAGAGCAGCTCGTCGCTCGCGAGCACGTCGGGCCATTTCCGACACTTCGACGGCCGCGACGGCTTTACGCTGCTCCCTCTTGGCGGCGTTGAGCTCCGCCTTTGAGCTCCCCAGCGAGGCACAGCTTTCACCGCCATCGCCAGGGTCCTCCGTAGTGAACCCCATGTCGCTCTCTGCTTCACTAGCCGCCGAGGTATTGGAGCACACGAATCGTCCGTGCTTATCCCTCCGCGGCTGCGAAGCACTCGCCCCTCTCGATGCCTGCCGACTCCTCCCCGAAGTCGGCAACTTGGGAGCCGGCAGGCCTTCCTCTTCTGAAGACCGGCACACTGGACGTTTCCTAGCGGAAGACGTCCAGTGTGCCGGTTTTTTAATTATTATATTTTTCCATGTTTTATCCCACGAGTGTGGAGGAAATAAAAGTCCATCCGAGCAGTGCCTCCTGTGCCCGGATAAGCCTATGCGTAACCCGTCAAGGGTGTCGGCCGGTACCCCGACGGGGGCAACGCTAACGACTGAACATTTACCCATCAGCCATGCAGCTCCTCACGGCGTGCCACGCTTGAGCTTCGGGTGATTTTTTAAAGAGGTTATCATCCTCGCGACTCCAGGCGGTTAAGCCAAGAGCCCTCGGCCCCTAAGGCGCCGCGAGACGTGATCCACGACACGCCAGAGGGATTCCGAGGTTCGAATGGTGGCAGAGTCGATATGGAATCTTCCCATGCCTGCCCAGAGACCGGGTGAGGGAACACTGAGCCCATTCAATTTCCTTTTTTTTTTACAGGGTGTGGTCCCTGAAAATCCCGCAATTACGGGTTGCCCGGCGTCGGCAAAAGCCGAGTGCACCTGGCACCTCACCGCGCATGTCACATTCTCTGTTCCTCTCAACGGAGAGGATACAGGAAGCAACTAGAAGGCCCTCCATTATCCCAACAAGCCCTCAGCCAGCCAGTTTTGGTCCGCGACGGTTTCCCGCTACCACTCATATCTGAGTGGCGTTCCCCTATCCGCCACCTGGGGACGCGCCCGATGGGAGTTCTGGCAACTCCACACGGGAACCTAACCTAACCTAACCTAACCTAAGCCGGGCTATGCACAATGCCTCACACTCATTCAAACACTCTCGGAAGCGGGAAGAAAAAGAGTATTGCCATCTAGTAAATTATCTAAGTGAGTACTACATTAATACCCACTTCTATCATCAGACGACAGTATCAACTTCTATATTCCCGTTTCAAGGGTAAGCCAGCCAGCATATTTATAAAAAAGATAAACTGCAATGTACTATTTGTGGGAAAAAATAATAATGGTCATTATTATTATTATCGGTAATGTGGACTAACAGTGCTGCTATAAAAGAGTTAATAACCCGCTAGTCGCTAAAATATTGAAATGTGTGCTAAATACACCAAAAAGCGCTGGATTAAGCGCTAGGTGCTAAAATTTCGAAATGCGCGCTATACATTCCAAAAAAGTGCTAAATCTAGTTCCCAAAGCGCTAAAATGGCAGTTCTGATTTTGCGTATATTATAAATACAATATCACGACATTTCGTTGCGAAATTTTTATTTTTGGTCGGGTTCCGTTGTATGGCTTCGATGGATACAAATTTCTTCAGTAAGTCTCAATAGAAAGAAAGAAAGAAAGAAAGAAAGAAAGAAAGAAAGGTTTATTCTCCAAAATGACGCCATCACAGATAACAGAAAAAAGAAACACATAATTTACAAATAATATTGGCTATACAATACAAATTATAATATACTACATATTACAAACTATACAATACCAATACTCATATGTGTCAAGGCGTCATCTACGATACGATACATCGGCGAAAAATCTCAACACAGCAATTCAGAAAAGTTTGTAATTTGTACAACTACATCTATTACGTCCTTTGTGTGAGAAAACATCCTATCTCTTTTTGTGTTTTAAGTATAAATATATTAATTATTATGGAACGTTTTTTTTTACACAGAAATCTTTTTATTACTATTTCTGAGATTTTATGGCGCCATTGAACAAATTCGAACCTACATTTCAAAATAATAATCATTACTTTCGATAGAATTAACCAATTTTAATAAAACAAAGATTAAATGTAACTCGAAGATACGCTTTATGATATTCTTAACGATTTCTTTGAAAATAAAAGATGTTTACTTTAGACGTGATGCGTTCATATAATAACAGACAAATAGACAGACAGACAATTCTAAAAATTATAAAATGTTCTTATTTAATTATTTTCAGTTCATCATAATGATTTTAGCCACCAAAATATATATACAATGTACAGAAAGAGACACAACATGTTATCATCATTTTTATTATATGTATATATTTAAAGAGAGATGGCGCTGCTAACATCATCAATTCTAAAAATAAAAGAGATTAATTGACGTGATTGATACATTATATAAAACGTAAGAGAACTTATAAATCAGTGCCTGCACAGTAAGCAAAAAATAAAGTTTGACTCTCGCCAAAACCAATGCAATTGTTAATAGCTCTTTTAAAATTTGATTTACCACATAGAGTACTCGGCGGTAAAGAATAAATTGAGTTTGTCAACACGCAGTAGGGCAGCGAGTAATATAATAAAGATTAGCAGTAAATATGAAAACTCTATCTACAGGAAAAAACCACATTTGCAATTGCATTACATTTTCACAACACCACCATCTATCGAAGAAATGGGTTAACTATTGTGCTTCAGATTTAGTTAATAACGTTAATATATTTTTGTATAATATATTTAATACGTTCTTTATTACTTGTTCGCGACGTCTTGTTAAGAACAGAGGAAGACCTCGCACCGTGCGTGCGCCCGCACATTTGAGACGTCCTATGCCTTGAACGTCGCTTTGACCGCTGGCGAGATCTGCGTGAGCTCCGGGGGCGTCACTCCACAAACTATATAGAAACACTACGCGTTCAGACGGACGTCTCTGGTACATTTAATTTGGACCGTAGAGCAAATCAGAACATGACATTTCGTTTTTTTTTAAAATATGAATTGGATATAGGCAAGGGAATAATTTTATTTCAGCCCAGTAATTATATATATATATATATATTATATAGGTATATACCTATATAATATTTTTATATTCATAATTTTAATAAATAAATATTAATTAATAATTACTATTTTTATTATTATTATTTTATTATGAAGGATTCGTAGAAATAAAATGCATTGTATATATTATTTATTATATGATTTATTTTTTTAACTTTTTTAAACTTGTTCAAGGTTTTTTTTTGGATTGGTGGCAATGTACACTTTTCGATTCTAATGATGTCCGTGCCTTTCAGAAACCCATGTGTGGTACATGCTATAGAGTAAACATATAATTCCTCCTTTGCTGCTTGCACTTGAATATTTTCAGTGAAAAGGTTCTCTTCAATACATTCGATATCCAGTGTATTGAGCTGGAAAAAGGAAAATTTAAATATATAAATTACAAGTTTAATATGCACATATTAAACTTGTTGCTCATTGTAATTGTTGTAGTTTATAAATGTTTGCATAGAAAATGTCAAGACAAGAAGAGGCCATTGTAATCAGATAAAGTTACTTTCACATAAATCTAAGAAGCTTTCACAATTCAGAAATTTCCAATAATTTTTGAACATAATTATCATTGATACCTAAGATAATTAAGTACACTGTAGCAATTTTTGATAGAAGGTTGGGAGGATAAAAGTATATTTTGTAAAGTAGCCAATTATCTATTGGAGTCTATGTTCATGTTCTACTGCTGGGCACAGACTGTCTCATTTCTCAGAGGGGTATGAAACAATGAGTTGGGCAAGGTGCTTATTGGTAGACTACATCTTTATTTTTATTCCTTAGACACACAGATTTCTTCACAATGTTCCAGAACATGATAAATTAGCACTTAAAATTGGAATTAACATTATTTCATTTATTTCAGGGTGTAGACAGATATCAAATTTGCTCAAAAATATAAACATATTACTAATCCTCATAAAAATATTATCTGAATTAAAGTTTTAGAATGGTTGTTTTGCAATTTCAATTTTACATGATTATTACCTTAATTTTTTTACTTCGTTGGGAATCACATGGTCATCATTTAGTTTATCTAACAAGCGCAATTGAGTATGCTTGCAGTCCTGTTTAGTACACATCATCTTGCCATTTTGATACATTTCCATCAGTTATTGTGTTTTGACAGCAAAATTATTCCTCATACCTTTTTTTATGATGGCTGATCAAATATCACACTAAATTTATTTGAACTGTATCATCTGAAATAAAAACATAAAAGATTGTTTGTCATTGTCATTCAGACATCCTTGATTTTGTAATTATTAAGACTAGAGGTGTGCGATTGTGCATAAAATAATGTTGACAATTAGTTATTTAAAATAATAGAATTCCTCATTTACTTCAGCCATTAACTTAAAATTTTAATAAATTATTATAAAAAGAATTTATTACCTATTGTTTCATTCATCATTCATTCATTGCAGACTATCATAAAGCTACTGGTAAACATAGGCCTTCATAGGTTATCATATTAGGTGTACATTTTCCATAGTTGTAACACTTGGCAGACAAGTTGGCAACCAGGTTATTATTATTACTAAGTTGTTATCAAAGAGATCACTTGAAACGCCAGGAATTAAGTAGTTTTATTTAAGTACTGTACTCCCGTACATCTTTATTATAACTTTTTAAATTTTATATGAATACTGAATATACTGAGCAGTTATGTTTATTAAGGAATAATTAAATGTACATACCTTTGTCATCTTTGATGATAAACCTAACTCAATTTACTCCAAAGATTAGTGTTGAGTTTATTCAACCTTTTTTAGCCTTATTAATGTCAGATTTAGCAGTATGAAACCCTTTATTCAAAAATTTTGTGACCAAGCAGGCTTCTTGAAATGGTTACTGGAATGCAGCATACTTTTAAGTTTGTCACAGTTTATAAAGTCCAACCACTTGTTTCTTTGGTCTTCGTCAGACTCTTCTCTGTTACTTGCACAATTCGGAATGAAACACTTAAAAATACATTTTAAAACTAAAATTTTTATACAAAATACACTAAAGCTAAAGAAAATGTCCCGTCGAAATATATAAGCTATAAAACAATAAACATCCTTTCGTAAAATAGCAGTAAAATGCCAATAAAACTTTATTTATAATTTATAGTTAGTTCATACTTCATAGAAAAACAAAATGGAAATTTCCAAGAAAACTTCTAACTTGACAGCTACGCGACAATAACATGACAAAATGGCGGCAGCGGGAAGGGGCAAGAGATGGGAGGGACGAGGGAAACGTCATGTTCTGGATTGCTCACTGCATTTCATACGGTCAAAGATTTTTGCTCAAAGATTACCAGCCGTGCGTCACTCAATATCGAACACTGGCGTAAACGAACGTTTCCCGTACCTTCTATTATTCTTTGCCTCAATACGTTAATTTCTACATATTATGTAAATTGGAATCGAATAAACCTATAAGTACTACAGTCTACTCGTGTATCAATCAACAACAAAAATGGTCCTTTGATTAAAAATGAACCAGAAGCATATCGAAAATTAAATCTAAGCATCATTATGGCAGCCATTATGTGTACTTGAAAATACTTCAGAACTAAAAGAATATGCATATGGAGATCCAAAATGGAAAACAGCACTGAGTGAGTTCGTTCCAATTCCTTTCTCATACTTATATATCACCTATCCATTTTCCAGGAATTCAGAATTGTGTGTAATTTCTACTGCATTTTTCGTAAAATTATTTTTAGACATATTATATTATTATTGAGGATAAAACTTTTCATCTACGTTTCGACAATAATCGTAAAATTATTCCTATAACAATTTTCTATAGATAAGCACGTAATAAGCTTATTATTTCATTACATTCATACATGCTGCATGTTGCATATTTATTAGGTGTTCGTTTTTATTACCCACTCATAAAAAAAAATACTTCTTTTTACTTCTTTAGTTGAAATCGATTTTTGTGAGTAAAGTGTATAATTATTACTTATTATTTGTTTTAATTAAGAGTGTTAAGAATCAAAATGGCCAGTGCTTCCCTTAAAGACCTAATTAAAAAACGTGGAGGCCTTAAAGCCAAACTTACATCATTTAATAATTTTTTGAATCTTATAAAAGATTCGGTTGTCTTGTCTGAGCTACAAAAATCGGAACTAGAATGCCGGCTTAGAAAAATTGATGCGGTATACGACCAATTTGACGCGTTACAGATGGAGATTGAGGCATTGTCGGAGCAGGTTGAGGACGAATACAAGGAACGCCTGCAATACGAAGAACAATATTATTCACTCCTTGCTTTGGCGCGTAGTATGATGAATGCTGCTACTTCATCAACGTCTTCTAGGGCAGGTTCCGTGACAGACAACCACGAAGATAGCTGTGCACCTAAATTCCATCTACCTGTCATCAACGTGCCGCAGTTCAGCGGTGACTTTCAGGAATGGTTGGAATTTCGAGATACGTATCTTTCAATTATCCATAATAATAATAACATCTCAAACGTACATAAATTTCACTATTTACGCGCAGCTTTGAAAGGTACTGCGTCATTAATAATTCAAAGTTTAGATGTAACACCAAACAATTATCCAATTGCATGGCAATTATTAACGGAGCGATATGATAACATACGTCTTTTAATCAACAATCATATACAAGCCTTATTAAATACGAAAAATATATCCTCTGAAAGTAGTTTGGAAATAAGAAATGTTATTGATGTGATGAATAAAAATTTAAGAGCACTTGCAACATTAGGTGAACCTGTCGATCACTGGGACACAATTATTGTTTATGTAATATCAAAAAAATTAGACCCAGTTACGAATCGGCTATGGGAAGAATACAGATGCAGCTTAAGTTGTAACTCACCAAGTTTACAACAATTCATTAAATTTTTAAACAATAAGTGTGATGTATTGGATACATTGAATGCGGGAGTAACTATTCCTATTATACATAACGTCAAACACTCAAAACTTCAATCACACCCTTTAACTTATAATAATAATAATTACAATAATTCATTTAGCAAAAAAGAGTTAATAAATACCGACAAGAAAAATTATAATAAAAACATTACATGTCCTATGTGTTCACAAAATCATTTCTTATTTACATGCCCTTCATTCATTAAACTTGATGTAGATTCTCGTATAAAAAAAGCCACCGAAAGTAGAGTATGTACGAATTGCTTACGTCCAGGTCATGTCCGTAACCACTGTAGATTATCAAATTGCAAGTATTGTAATTCTAGACATAATACTCTATTGCATAAAGATAATTTCCATAAAGACCCATCTTCTTCTAATGTAGCACTTTCGACAAATATCAGTTCATCTTGTAACACTGCTTACGTCATATTATCTACAGCGTTGGTACGTGTAAAAGACAAAGACGGAAAACAACACACAGCCAGACTTCTGCTTGACAATGGAAGCACTTGTAATTTTATTACGGAAGATATGTGTAATAAGCTTGGTTTGGTAAGATATAACACTGATTCCACTATCTCTACGATTAATAACCAAGTCACACGGGCCACCCAAATATGCGAACTAAATTTTGAGTCATACTTTAGTGATTATAAAGCAAATATTACTTGTTATATCCTGCCAAAAATTTCACACACCCAACCCAATTCGTACGTAAACATTAAGCATATACCAATTCCTTCAGAAATAAAATTAGCTGACCCTAAATTCCACCTACCTTCTTCTATTGACATTTTAGTGGGTGCAGAAATATTTTGGGCAGTCTTAAATGCAGAAAACCGCAATATTGGTCCTACATATCCATATATGCATATATGCTAATAACGTTCAAACTCGTAATGTATGTCATCATACATTGAACAATAACGAAGAATTTACTCTTGCAAAATTTTGGGAGTTAGACTCAATTTCATCTCAGTACTCATATTCTCAGGAAGAAAAAGCTTGTGAAGAAATATTTAATAACACTACATATCGTACTTCGTCTGGTCAATTTGTAGTGACAATACCATTGAAGACCTCACCAGATTGTCTGGGTGATTCATATGCCTTAGCTAAGCGAAGGTTTCTTGCACTTGAGCATAGGTTTGAACGAGACTCTCAATACAAGAAAAATTATGACGAATTTATTAGAGAATATATTAATCTAGGTCACATGACCCAAAACTTACCTAATTCACATTCCACAAATAAATATAATTTTTACTTGCCACACCACGGTATTATACGAGAGTCGAGTACAACAACAAAGTTGCGCGTTGTGTTTGATGCATCCGCTGCCACGACAGCTGGTAAGAGTTTCAACGATATACAAATGGTGGGTCCAAAAACACAAGATGATCTTATGTCTATATTATTACGATTTCGTCAACATAAATACGCTATTACTGGAGATGTGGAAAAAATGTATAGATCTATTTTATTGCACAAATCACAACGCACCTTACAACAAATCATATTTAGATTTAACACTAACGAATCTCTCAAAACATATACTCTTAATACAGTTACCTACGGAACCTCTTCGGCCCCTTATTTAGCCACTAAATGTTTAGTGTCCCTCGCTAAAGATACTCCTAAGTACAGTATGCCATTAAACATGATTTTTATATGGATGACTATTTGGGTGGCGGGGACTCTATTGAGTCCGTTATCGCTTTGGTCAAAGAAATAAAGAATGTACTAGAGTCCGCGAAATTGCACTTGCGAAAATGGCAATCAAATAGCCAAACAATTATAAACAATATAACGAATGATGAAAAAAGTGAACAACATAAAACCCTTAATCTTGATCCTTCTCCTTCAAAAACATTAGGTTTATTCTGGGACACCTTTCATGACACTTTTTATTTTTCAATTAACCACACCTTTACACATAAATACACAAAACGTAATATTTTATCTTTCATAAGTCAAGTTTTCGATCCTTTGGGTCTGGTTGGACCGTGTATTTTACAAGCCAAAAATATATTGCAACAACTGTGGGTACATAAATGTGGCTGGGATGATGAGGTTCCGTCGCAAATTGTATTGGAATTTAATAACTTTGTTAACTCTCTTTCTCACATAAACACCATACATATACCACGCTGGATAGCGCAAGATGATCTTCGGGAAATGCAGTTACATGTATTTACCGATGCTTCAGAACGTGCATATGGCGCATGCGTTTATGTAAGAACGATCTCAATTGACGGATTAGTGCAAGTTCGTCTTTTAACATCAAAAAATAAGGTGTCGCCTATAAAGACTATAACAATACCTCGCTTGGAGCTATGCGGCGCTTTACTAGGCACAAGGCTCTATAAAAAAGTGATAGAGTCTTTAACTATGAAGTTCAATAGTTGCTTTTTTTGGTGTGATTCGACAATTGTTTTGGGTTGGCTTTCCACAGAGTCAAGTTCTCTTAAGCAATTTGTACGAAATAGAGTTAATGAGATACTAGAAATTACAAAGGGACACACCTGGGATTATGTGCCATCTAAGCTGAACCCTGCTGATTTGGCTTCTCGTGGGGTGAATGCTGACTTCCGTCTGAATGCTGACGTCCTTTCGCACTTTGGTGGAAGGGCCCAGAATTTTTAAATAATTTGATTTTAAAAATTCCATCATCTCCAAACATACATACAATAACACTTCCAGAGCTTACACTTCATATTGATATACAACAACAAAATAATATCAATTCACTACATCAATTAATTTATGGTTTATCAAATTATAAAAAACTAGTAAGAGTATTTGCATACGTTCAACGTTTCATTTTTAATTGCAAAAATAAGACATCTAAACATAATAACTTCCTTACTTTATCAGAATTACGATCATCACAACAACATCTTCTTAGTTATTCTCAACAGGAAATGTTTCCTGATGAATACGCCATACTTAAAGCATCTAAACCAGTACCTAAGAGTAGCAGACTCAAATCACTTACTCCCTTCCTCGATTCAGATAATCTTATAAGAGTAGGTGGTAGACTCAGTAATTCATGTTACACGTATGATATTAAGCACCCGGTGGTGTTGTGTTCAAAACATCATTTAACTAAACTTATTTTTGAAGCTAAACACAAAGAATTATTTCATGCTGGCCCTCAACTAATCTTATCTAACGTTAGACAGAATTTTTGGCCTCTGGGTGGAAGAAATTTATCAAAATCAATAGTTCGTGCTTGTATTCGTTGTAAAAGGTTTAATGCTAAATCAGTACAACCCATTATGGGTCACTTACCAGCTGAAAGAACGTGTCTCGAATTTCCTTTCCTCAACACAGGTGTCGACTTTTGTGGGCCTATCCTGATAGCTGACCGCAAGGGACGCGGTTGTCGATTACAAAAGGCCTATATTTGCGTTTTTATCTGTTTCGCAGTCAAAGCCGTGCACCTGGAGCTTGTTACGGATCTTACCAAGGAGGCGTTTTTAGCGGCACTCAATCGTTTTATATCGCGGAGGGGTAAGCCTCAAAACATGTATTCCGACAATGGCACAACCTTCGTAGGAGCCAGCAACGAACTTACTCGATTCTTAAAGGCGAATAATATCTACATACAGGCCAATTTAGCAGAAATTAATATTAACTTTAACTTCATACCAGCATATTCTCCCCATTTTGGCGGTATTTGGGAGGCGGCCGTCAAATCGGTAAAAACTCTTTTACGTCGCGTTTTAAACTTAACACATCTAGTTTATGAAGAACTTTCCACCTGTTTGTTTCAGATAGAGGCAATTCTGAATTCTAGACCTCTCACACCTTTATCCACAGATCCTTCCGACCTTACCTTTTTGTCGCCAGCCCATTTCCTCATTGGACGGTCACTCATGTCAGTACCATATCCTTCACTTGAAGATGCTAATATTAATCGCATTCAACGATTTCAGAGAATTGAAAAGCTTAGACAGCATTTTTGGAGGCGATATTCACAGGAATATATATTTCAACTACAGCAGAAAACTAAATGGCATGCTTCATCTGGCGAACTGAAGATAGGTGATCTGGTTTTGGTCAGGGACCAAAATGCACCGCCTCTGCTATGGCTCTTGGGACGGATCACAAAACTATCAAGGGGCAGTGACGGAGTATCCAGAGTTGCTGAAATACGAACAAAGAAGGGACTTATTGTTCGAAGTTTTAACAACCTCTGTCCCCTTCCACTCAATCAGTCTTGAAGACTACGCTTCAACGCCGGGGAGTATGTTCGCGACGTCTTGTTAAGAACAGAGGAAGACCTCGCACCGTGCGTGCGCCCGCACATTTGAGACGTCCTATGCCTTGAACGTCGCTTTGACCGCTGGCGAGATCTGCGTGAGCTCCGGGGGCGTCACTCAATATCGAACACTGGCGTAAACGAACGTTTCCCGTACCTTCTATTAATCTTTGCCTCAATACGTTAATTTCTACATATTATGTAAATTGGAATCGAATAAACCTATAAGTACTACAGTCTACTCGTGTATCAATCAACAACATTACTTTTGTTTACTGCGTTTTAGATATACATAATTATATCATTATTTTACATAATTTAACTATGATTTATGATATGATATTAGTTTAAAATGCACTTGATGACTCAAACAAAGCCACCGTTGAGCAAATTCGTACCTATACTTCCCTACCCATACTTCAGAATATTTATCATAACTTTTGATGGAATGAACTGATTTTAATGAAATAAAGACTAAATGTAACCCGAAGATACACTTTATAATTTCCTTAACAATTCTTATGATATAAATTAGTACTTTATACGTGATACGTTAACAAACAAACAGACAGACAGACAGACAGACAGACAGATAGACAGAAAATTCTAAAAATGGTAGAAATGTATTTAATTACTTATTTTTAGTACCCCTCAATACCACTTTTATTACAAAAATATTAAATGTACAGACATCTGCTATTTACAGTTTTATTATATGTATAGATGATACATCTATTAGGTACGATACGCTTTTACTGGCCTTCCCTGCTCTCTTATAACTCAGCGAGACAAACACGGTTAACGAATTCTCTTATGCTGTCGCCACATGAAATGAGATAATTTATCATTCTATTATCATTATACCAACTAACCATGTAGTGTTATTGTAAGAATATCCACTACCTCGTAATGTCATCTAGTGGGCGTCGTAAGAGGCGACACAAGGAAACATATCAGGAGATGAGCAGCGGCGTCTTCCTAATAATAACTAAAAATAAAAATAAAACTGCGGTTTTCAACCCGCTTTCCAGGAAAGCAACTGTTGCAAATATCCTCCCTACGCAATTTATGGAGGAGGCTTATGTTCAGCAGTGGACTTTTAATAACGGTACATCGATAGATGCGTGTTATATATAGGATTAGTAGAAATTTCAGTTTTGTGGTTCAAGCTATTTCTCATATCTTGATTATGATTAACTCAAATAATAAAAACTTTCATTTCAAACACGAATAACAATTATGTTTTTAGCTCTCACGTGTCTGTAACATCAATTAAGCGATTCACTGACGGCAAAGATTAAAGGCCTACAAGCTTCACAAAACAACGTAATATACTTCTTACCTTGAATAAAAGTAATTTTATCGCGTTTGTTTTTAGCTTATTTTGATACTCCACGATTCGAGTGTTTCAAAACACCCATCTCAGGATTGAACATTTGACTTCCTGATGTCAAAGATAAAAATTGCATTCATTCATTCATTCATTACAACCTTTCAAGAGTCCACGGCTGAACATAGGCTTTCCCCAAATATTGGCTCATAAAGGATATCTGCCATAGTTGTCACTGTAGGCGGGATGGCAACTGCAGTTTCGAATTATTTTAAATAGCTATCGGGAACATGCTGCTGCCCTTCTGTTTTCTTAAGCGTGTCATTGCCCAATATAATTTTTGTTTATGTTGCATTCGCATTTCATTCGGTTATTTTTTTAGGTAACAACTTTAATTGGTATGCAAAAAATATAGTACTTCGTATGCCCACAGTGTAGGTCATAGTTGAACTTTATTATATGTATAATATGTAGTTAACATCTATGTAATACCTATAATCAACGAAATAAATGATTCTGAATCTGAATGCTGATCCTGAATCCTGTTATAAATATCAGATAGTTCATTAACTTTTTCTCTATTCATGAACTTTATGTACATGTTATTATTTGACTATAATACTTTTTGACAACGCAATCACAACGGACGAACTTTAGTATTGACGTGTACAGCTGCCCATAGAACCTCTCAATCTCACTCAAAATCTCAGGTGCCCCGGAAACGATGCTGCCACATTCGGTCTTCAGCTTTGACAGTTGGCTCTTTCTGGCAGACAGATCTCTGGCAAAGACTTTGGAGCCTTGGTTCCGCTCGATCGCTTCTTCTATACGAGTTGTATTGAAGTTGCGTAAGTCCCTCCGCATGCACTTGGAGATCTGTCTGTTCAGTTGCCTGTATGCTGTCAAATCTGTTGAAGAATGTAGCTTCATCTCCAGTCTAACAGCCATGAGATTAAGAGTGTGATCGGAGAGTTTTTGTGTTCTTCTGCGGCGGGTCTTGCAGAACTTAGCTCCGACCGCATGAACAGTTTCCACGAGCTTGTCATTCAAATCGTCCACTTCATTGCAGTTTTCTAGGCACTGAAAACGGTTTTGTAACTCGAGCTGAAAGGTTTCAGGACTTTGGATTAGAGCACGAGGGGGACGGAGCGTTGACTTCATTAGACGAGACCTCTCCAACTTAACGTTTAGGTTCAGTGTGCCTCTAACCATTCAGTGATCGCTGCCGGTTTTCACCCTCGCGATCACTGAGACATCACTGAACAGTGTAGGTCATAGTTTAACTTTATTATATGTATAATATGTAGTTAACATCTATGTAATATCTATAACCAACGAAATAAATGATTCTGAATCTGAATGCTGATTAATCCTGTTACAAATATCAGATAGTTCATTAACTTTTTCACTATTCATGAACTTTATGTACATGTTATCATTTGACTATAATACTTTTTGACAACGCAATCACAACGGACGAGTATACTTTAGTATTACAACACGTCGAAAGCAAATTTCCGATATATTTTCGAAGGATTATAACAAAGGTTCCTCTCGGCTCACTGAACCGATACAAACAACGGTGTCGTCACTATAAGACCAGCACATTATGTGTTTATAGTTCTGTGACGTAATATCTTCTCATGTGAATAAGATCTATTGATAAATCTAATCGTGCATGCCTTAAGCGCATTAAAAAAATTACGTGGAACATAATTATGCGTATTTTTTTAGAGTAGTTTCATTACACACAGGTTTTTACTAAAAAGCTTATAATTATTACTATAATTCCAAATTACCGATAATTTTGTGTTAAATTTCAGTTAAAAAGAGCTTGGAAAATCCAAAGGTGCACGACACATTATGCTTATATGATTGCAAAAAAAAGAAAATAAAAAAAATGTAAATTGTAGTCGTCAAAGAGTTCCAATAGCAGTCACAGAAGTATATCTTCAAGTCCCTCCATCAAGTCCGGAGCTGAGGTCTATTAATAACTAACAAAACGAGCCCAAACTTGGGACACCTAGTTCTACTCTTCGAGGAGTTCCA